TGAGGTACAGCCTGAGCTCCCCTTTCTTGGGCACAGTGGAGTCCGACTGGGAGACCAACCGGGAGGGAGCTGGGTAGAGGGGCAGTGCCCCCTCCCCTGCCCCGTGCAGGATTGCAGCCCAGGCCCCTTCCTCCACCTGGCTTATTTAGACAACTGAGCCCAACCCTGGGAAATGGATCAGATTTCAGATTTGACAAAAATAACAACAAACTTGGGCCGCCCCCGCCAAACCCAGCATTTCCACCCCCTCCCCACGCCTGTCAGCACCCTCCCCCAGAAACCATGCCTGTCAGCCAGGCAGGGGGAGGGAGCGGTCACCATGGAAACTGCAGGCCTCTGGCTGGCTCCTGGAGGGGCACTGCCCTGTGGGGTCTGCCCCGGGTGGGCCATTGTCCATCCACTCGCTCACTCCTCTGGCTGGGACCTGAGAGGTGTGACCGGGACCCCTGGCCTGAGGGCTTCCCCTGTCCCTTGCTTCTGTCCACATCTCAAGACTCCGGTTGGGTGTAGAGTGGGAGATGCATGTTCCCTTCCAGCTCGGCCTCCTACTGGCTGGGGTCCCCTCCACAACCTCTCCCTGCAGATAAGGTCTTGACCCTGCAAGGGCCCTTCCTGACCCTCCTGGATGCCACACAGGACTGGACACCAGCAGGGGCACAGCCAGATGGACTGGTGGCCACCCTCACTCTGCTTGCCTGGCTGTGGGCCACAAGGGAAAAGCACAGTCCCACTGAGCACTCACCAGTCCAGGGACCCAGGTCCCAGGTGCTGAGTGGGCATCAGCCCGTATGTGACCATCGGCTCTGGAGCCAGCAAGACTTGGCACAAATCCTGCCTTTCCACATACTGCCTGCCTGGTCCCCAGGGCCAGCTCTGGCTGCCTCAGTTTTCCTGTCTGCAACGTGGAGGTCACATAAAATCCACCAGTTTGGGAGCCTTGTAGAAGTCCCAGTCCTGAGTTGACTGACTCTTTAAGAGACCGTGAGAGGAGATGGCTGGCACCCGCAGTAAGATTTGTAATGACACCTTTTATCTTCTACTGAAGGGCACATAAGCCACTAGCAGAAAATACCAATAGGGATTTTCTGTCCTCTCCGGGGAGGGGGACAGCCCTGGCCCTGTTGGAAGACAGCTGGGTCTGCTGAACCCTCCTGGCCAGGCCTGGGCCTGAGGTGTGCTGGGCTGTGTGGGCTCTGTGTGCCGGGGCCGCCTCGGTTCCTTGCCACCCGTGCCTGGCGTCAGGTTTAACTAAGATACGAGGTTCCTCAGCAGACGGGAGCTCAGGACCACTTCAGAAATGTTCGCTCTCATTTCTGTTATTACCGGGTGCCTGGCACACAGCAGGCGCTCCATGTATGCTCATCAGTTCCCTGCTTGGCTCTGAGCTGAGGACTTTGGGAAGTGGGGGGAAGGTCTGGGTCCCTGGGGAGGCTGGTGGTGGGGCCGAGGTGTGGGGTGGGAGGCGCTGGTTGTTCTCTTCCCTAGGCCGGTGTCTGGACCAGCTTCACCTGCCAAGGAAACCGTATTGATCGAATCACATCGATCTGTCCCCCCATCTGCGTCCTCAGAGGCGCTCCTGGCTGCCCGTCAGGGATCTCATCAGCATGAATGACTGTCGTGTGACTGTCTGAGTGAGCGATGGCACATCCAGAGCCAGGACACGTGGGAAGCAAAGGGTGTGGGGTGGGTTTGTAAAGCTGTAGGTGGGTTGTGTCGTGACGTCATTTCAGCTGTGGGCTCCGTACGAGGCTTGGGCGGATCTCTGTCCCCGTTTCCCATATGTGCATTGTGTATGTGGGGTGCATCTGTCACTCTCCAAGGCTCTCATCGGGGCTGCTTTGTGACACAAGTCACCCAAACAGGAGTGAGGGTCTGGTGGTGATGTAAGTAGAGGGGATGGCCCCACTGTATGGTCTTAGGTGCCAGCTGGGGGGCTTTGTGTTTCACCGTGAGAGGCAATGGGGAGCCATTGAAGACTCTTGCACTTGTGGAGATAGCGTTCGAGCCACGCATGCTTTTTTGCCTAGAAATCCCATACTGCGCTCTCAGGGCCTCTGCCCTCCCTCGTGTTGTCCCACAACCCTGAGGCTTGGTCTGCTATGCTCTGAGCTCCCTGGTCCATATGACTGATGCTGGGAGCAGAGCAGTAGGCACTGGACCAGGCCACCAAGCCACTCAGCCCGGAGGCCTTGGCTCCCTCTGACCACTGCTACCCCACACCGCATGGTCTGGTCACACTTCAAGGGTTGCTGAAGCTTTTGATCCCCACCCCCGGCGGGGAGCACGTCAGGAGCTGTGGGCAGCCTTGCCAGCTCTGGCCTGACTTCTGAGCCTCGAGACTCTTGGAGTTGGTTCAGGCCTGCCATCTGGGATTCCCTGAGCGCCAGGGCCAGGGGACTAGGCCATCCATGCCTGAAGGCCTGAAGCTGAGCTGTCTAGGGATGAGAGCAGCTTCATCTGCCCTCTGGGGCTCTTGAGTGGACGAGGGCTTTGAGTCAGATCGTTTGGGATGCTGGTGACCTTGTATATCTTCCAGACCTGTTTCCTCCTTTATCCTCAGTGGACTGTGGTGACAGCTAAGGTCGCGTCCCTAGGGTGCCTGGCACACAGTAGTCATGGTGACTGCCAAGTTTATTACTGTGATATGTGCTGGACCAAGTGGCCAGGGGGGACCTCCAAAGAGAAGCCCCAACACCACTTTGGGATGGGCAATAGGTGCATCCTGGGAAAATTCAAATGAATGGGCTGTGAAGGCTGGGTAGGGGTTTGTCTACAGGGAAGGAAAAGCATGTACAAAGGTTATGCTTGGGGCCAGCAAGGGGTTCAGTGTGTGCCACAGCCAGTGAGAGATTCAGCAGTAGAGTTCATTGAGGTCAGAGTCTTGGAGGCCTCGGGTGTCAGGTGAGGGGGAAGATAGGGAGCCGCAGAGGACTCTTGAGCAGGAGAGAGGCAAAATTAGAGCTGTGTTTCAGACAGATGAATCTGGCAGGTACGAATGGCTCGGGGGCAAGAAAAAGCAGGCTCTGGTGTAGTGTCTCAGCTCTGCCTCTTTTCAGCCAGTGACCTTGGGCAAATCCACCCCACTCTGTGTCTCAGTTTCCTTGTTTTGTAAAGTGGGCTTATCACAGAGTGTGAGATTCAGTAGGTGAAATACTCAGCAGTGTTGGGCACACACAGGCGCCTGGTCACTGAGGTCATCGTGTGGGGCACCTGAGGGGCAGAGGCCAGAGCAGAGCTCCAGAAGAGGCTGAAGCAGGCTGGTGTGAGACACTGTGACAAGGGAGGGGAGGCTGTGGACAGAGACCAGACACACGCACATCCCAGAGCGGAGCCCAGCGGGTCTGGTACGCATCTCAGCCCTGTGTGATGCAGGAGGGCCCCTGGTTTCCCTGGATGCATGCAGGGCCCTGGTGAGGAAGCAGTGGGGACCCCAGGCTCTGCCAAGTGCACCCGGGCAGGAGGGGCAGAGGAGGCGGCAGAGATGCGGCTGAAGGAGAGGGAGGCGAGTGGGGCAGAGCAAGGGGAATGGGGACGTTCACTGGTAATTAGGACGTTTGAACTTCAAGAAAGTTAATTACTGATGAAGCTGCTGCCGGAATGGTGCTCGGGCTAGAAGGAGGCCCTGGCAGTGACTGAAATTAATTACAGGCTGTGGCAGGAGAGTGGCAGCCGGGTGAGCGGAGGACAGAGAGGAGCAGGGCAGGGACTGGAGGGAGGCGACTGAGAAGGGGCATCCCAAGGTGAGCGAGGGCTGGGGTGGGAGGAGCTGTTGCCATGGAAACCAAGAGGGGCTCCCAGCAGGCAGGAGGGGCTCCCCCCACCCCTCCCTCAGTGCAGGTGGGGTCTGGCTGAGAGCTGGCTGGTGTGGCTCCGTGGAGCTGGTCAAGTGTGAGAGTTCTTCAGATGCACTCAAGAATCGCTGGGGGTCATGGTGGCTGGGGCCAGGGGGACATAAGTGTTCATGAAACAAACCTTTATTGAGCTCCTGCTGAATGCAAAAACCCCTGTGCCCTGGAATGTGGACAGAGACAATGAGTGTGTCAATGAGACATGCTGGTTGCTGTCTGTAAATTTCTGGGGGAAGGGACCCTGGGGTTGAAGAGGTAGTTGGGGGGGAGACTTAAAGGAGGTGACAGTGAAGTTTTTATTTTGCTGTTGAGAAAGACTCTTTCTAACTTTGCCTGGGCTGGCTTCAAACTGGAGATCCTCCTACCTCTATCTCCTGAGTAGCTGGGATTACAGGTGTGCCCTCTCATATTCTGCTGACTACCTAGTTCTGGGGTTGGGTGGACAGATAGTGGTGGGACAGGACACAATTGACCACGTCCTGAGAGGAGCCATGAATAGGGGAGGGGCGTTTGTGAGGTGCTCCAACTGGCTTGGGTGCTGGAGGGGTCCCTTCATCCTGACCCTGCCTGAGGTTGGATTAGGACGATCTCTAGACTCCCTGGCTGCAGGAGACTTCCAGCCTGGGCAGACCTGGGGAGGCTTGAGCCCCCCATGGGGTGGGGTTGGCCTAGGAGCAGCAGCCACAGTGGCTGTGATCTCCAGTCCCACTGGTTAGTGTTGGGTGAGGAGGATTGGTGCCATCCAGTCTCCGCCACTGCAGAGGACAGACCTGGCCTTGGCAGAGAGGGAGGGGTGTGGTCAGGGAGAAGGTAGTCAGAGGCAGGAGGCGGTGGCAGTCAGATGGCAGAGGCTGGGGTCCCTATCTGCCACTTTTGGGGAACCATTTCCTTCCTGGGCCTGTGGGCTCAGGCTGGTGCATGGGGTCCTCAGGTGGTGGCTTAGTGGAGTTTGGTCCCTGGATGGTTTTGGCCCAGGTGGCCATGCCTGCTGCGACAGGGATGCCTTTGGCTACCTGGGCACTGACCATCCAGGGATGTGGCTGGGGGGACTGGAATGAGGCAAGTGTCTGTGTCTGGGGGGTTGGGCTGTCGCTTTCCAGGGCACACCCTGCGGTTGTGTCCCCCACTGTTTTGCCCTTGACTCTTGAGCACGTGGTTTGAATGCATCAGCATGCTGGTGATCTTGCTGAACTGCGTGACCCTCGGCATGTACCAGCCGTGTGATGACATGGACTGCCTGTCAGAGCGCTGCAAGATTCTGCAGGTGAGCCCGGCCCCAGCCCTGCTTCTCATCTTCCTCCTGCCCCCTCCCCTCCACCCCTCTCCCCATCTTGGAGCCTTGGCGATAGCACAACCCCCACCTTTTCCCATCTGGGTGCCCACCAGCCTCCTCCTGGTTCCCGATCCCAGGCTCCTCACTCCATCCCCCCATTGCTGTAAAGCACAGTGGCTGATGCTCCTCTGCCTAAAGCCTGACTTGGCTCCCCAGTGCTCCTGGAATAAGCACCAAGCCCCATAACTGCCTCAGTGCCCTTTAGGAGTGGTCTCCGGCAGCTCTCCCATTCTTACCTCCCAAGTTCCCAGGTGGGACCTGACCCTTGGCACCTGCATGGCGCCGTGCAGGGGGGTGCACGCCCTTAGTGCAGGGTGCTGGGTTGTACCCATTTTGCAGCTGTGGAATTCAGTGCCTCTCTCTGGGAAAGCAGATCCCTGGGAGGAGCTGCTCTCTGCTTCCTGAGTCTCTCAGAACTCAGTAGTTCCCAGCCAGCCTGGGCCACAGAGTCTCCTGGGGCACGTGTTAAAATCCACAGCCCTGTCCCCATCCCAGACACAGGAGGTGAGAATCTCTGGGTGGCTCTGGGGTCTTTGTGGGCAGCAAGTTCCTCAGCCAGCCCCAGGTCTAGTCAGAACTGGCTGGGACTCACCCTTCCCATTGCCTGCCTCCATCCAGGCACAAGTAGGAGTAGGCTGATGGAGTTGAATGCAGCCTCACTGATCCTGGAAAGAGGACTCCCACCATGTGCCAAGGCTTCAGCTCATGGCCACTCACCCGAGTGCTCGGTTAGGGACATACCTGGCGTCTCCTCTGTGAGCAGAGGAGGTAGTGTTGAGGCCTGCACCTGGCCAGGGTGCCATTAGGCTCATTTCAGGAGGGCTGTGGGGCCAAACCTGAGTTCATTCCTGATTGTGCCAAGCATCTGCTGTGTGATCTGGAACAAGTCACTTAATTTCTCTGACTCTCAGTTTCCTCATGTCTAAAATGGTGCCACCTGGGAGTCATCATTGTGAGAATTAGGAGAGAGAGTGCAGGTCCAGTGTCTCACCCAGTGCATGGCAATTGTTAGGGCAGTTTTGGGAGAGCACCTGACTCTGCCATCTGGGTTCCTTGTTACCCTGGGCTAAGGCTGTGTGACTGGAGCAAGTTCATTCCCCTCTCTGGGTGTTGGTCTCCTCGTCTGTGAGATGATTGCATTGGAAGCAGGGTCTCTGAGAGTCTCTTCCTGCCCCTGGGAGGGAGTTTCCTGGTCTTTCCCAGGTCCATGTGTCCACACCCATGTCCCCACCTCACACTGTGCCTCTGGCCCCCCGAATCCTGCTCTAGAATTCACATGGCCCCTTGCTTTCTTCCTCCTGCCTGGCAGTTGTTCGACGACTTCATTTTCATCTTCTTTGCCATGGAAATGGTGCTGAAGATGGTGGCCCTGGGCATTTTTGGCAAGAAGTGCTACCTTGGAGACACGTGGAACCGCCTGGACTTCTTCATCGTCATGGCAGGGTAGGTATCGGCCATCGACAGTGAGTGTGACCTGCAGTGTGTGTCGCCTGTTGTGTAGCCAGCCTGCAGTCTTCCTGGAGATGGTGACGATGCTGTGGGGGAATGGGGGCCTTCTGGACCCTAGGGTGGGAGGAACGGGGTCCTTTGATAACTGGCCTGGATGGACAGATGTCCTTCCTGAAGTTCTGTGTCTTCCTGCCCTGCCAGCTGACACTGGGTCTGTTTTAAGCTGAATAACTCTATAGTTTTGGGAAATTGACAACCTGATTGAGCCTCCATTTTCTCATCTAGAAAATGGGAATGAAAAGTGTCCCTACGTCAGAAAGAGCACCACTCCATGTTAGCCACAGTTGTTATCTTGTCACCCTGATCACTCAACCAGTGGAGGCAGAAGGCAGACTCCACACCACCTTGCCCTCAGCGCTGGCCACTTCCAACAAGACAAAGGCAGCATGAGGCGAGAGGATCATGTAGTCCAGGAGTTCCAGACCAGCCTGGGCAATAGAGCGAGATCTCGCTCAAAAAAACAACAAAAAAACCCCACAAGCCACTATCGGAGCTGACCACATTACAACTTAGCCTGTTTGGTGCTTTCTGGACCCCGTCCTGCACAGGCTTCCTCTGTCCTGCTCCTTGGGATCCATCGAGCAACTGGGGGCGGTGGGCTCTAGGGAGTATGGGCACCCCCTGGACACTGGGCGAAGAGGACACAGGCTGTTCCTTCCCCGCTCATGTCCGGGACAGGCGTCCAACAGCTCCCCATGACTGTGTCTTCACACTCTGGACCAGGGCGCTGGGCAAAGCGCTGTGATTCACTAAGCGCAGTTAACACACTCGGGGGCTGAGGAGTTGACAGACAGAAGTTGAAGGATTGCCTAACGGTGCCCAGTCATGGATCAACACAGCCGAGGTGAGGCGGGGAGAAGGCTGCAGGCCGTGAGTGTGAGTCTGTGTGTGTCACATGTGCACGAGTGTGTACCTGCGTGTGCACTGCCACTGAGAAGGCGCAGCCATTTGCCTCCCTGCTGAGCTGGGGAGTCGGGGTTTGAACCTAAGTAGAAACAGGCAGGTTTTGATGGTTTCTTGGGGACCGTGTCACCCCCTTTGCCAGGTGCCTTCTTCCCATTTTGGATTGACTGGAGAAAACCTTTAAGTAGTTTTTCAAAGAAAAGGGATGAGAAAGTATCATTTCTTAGTCTTGCCTGTCCAAATATGTCCCTTTGATCTCAGAGTGGAAGGAAATTTGTGTCTGCTCTGTTCTAGAATCATGATTTTTTTTTTTTCAGTACTAAGGATTGAACTCGGGGCCTTGCTCTTGCTAGTAGGAGCTAGCCATGCTGCCAGCCCTTTTGTTCACATTTTTGTTTTTGTTATTTTTGTTTTGGTCTGGCTAATTCTCCCCAGGGCTGGCCTTGAACTTGAGATCCTCTTGCCTCTGCCTCCCGAGTAGCTGGGATTGCAGATGTGCACCAACACATTGAGCCTGACTGCCTTGTGCTGTGCGCGGGACACAGTGGGGCTGTAGGGCACACAGGAGCATCCTGGTCTCCTTTCTTGAAGACAGTGGGCTTTTTCCTGACTAGAAGCTTGCTGGGTTTTCTCTCAGCACGTCTTTCCTCTCTGATTTCACCTGTCATGGGGTGAATTCCTGGCTGTGGGTCTGAAAGTGGGCCCTGGCCTTCTGACAGGCCTCTCTCCCCTTCACTGCCCCTGCCGGGGCCATCCATGTCCTTGTCTCTTCATCCCCTGTTCTCAGAGTTCATTTTTCAACCCGGCTCGTGCCCGTTCTTGTTTTATGGATTCCATATTCACCCAGATCTCCTTATGGACGCCAACTAGGCTTCTTCAAAGCCCCTTCCTGATTCTGGAAGTAACCCGTGTCAAAGTGTAATTTCCCAACATTAGGAAAATGGCCCTCCCACAAACCTAAGTGCTCACGTGTATGGCTGATTATTCTGCTCATTAAGGAGGGCGGCCAGCGGAATTTGGAAGCCGGCAGCAGAGAAAGCTTGTGGGAGGAGGGCGAGGTGAGAATGGGAGCCTCACCGACCTGCAGGTGAGAAAACCGCAGCCTTTGGTGACTGGCTCCTTAAAAATCTACAAGTTGACATGCGATTCCACAGGATCCAGATCTTTCATTAACGGGAAATGGGGACTCACACAAAGGTGAATTCCCCTAGACAATGAAATAACCCACGGAGCGGTCTCTAAAAGTATGCTGCGAAAGCCCAGCAGAAATCCTGCCCTCCCTGGGCCTTTTTCCGAGTTTTAGGATAACGTCTCTTGACGTTGGGGAAGCCTGGCTCTGCTGGCTCCACAGTGCACCACCCGCGAGCATCCCATGCTCACCGCTGGCCTGCGGCCTCTGCTCTGTTGCTTAGATCCCTCCTGTCTGCTCTTAGTTCTAAACAAAGGCAATGGAGCCCTAAGCTCCAGGGTGAGGAGCCTGTCTGCCCTCAACATTGCCATGAGGTCTCAGTTTGATCTTGTCTTTTGGTCCTTGTCATGGAGGTGGACAGTTGGGATCGGGTCTGCTAGGCACATGCTCCAGAGCTCAGTGAGGGCTGGGCATGAGGCTGGCATGCAATGGATGGGTTTGCATTCCCCCCACCCCTGCCCCCTTCTACTAGAGTTTAAACTCAGGACCTTATGCTTGCCAGACAGGTGCTCTACCACTTGAGCCACACACCTCCAGCCCTTTTGCTTTAGGTATTTTTCAGATAGGGTCTCGCTTTATGCCCTGGCTGGCCTGGACTACAATCCTCCTGTTTGTGCTTCCCTAGGGGCTGAGGTGACAGGTGTGCACCTTTGTGCCCAGGTTTTTATTGTTTGAGATGGGGTCTTGTGAACTTTTTGCCTGAGTTGGCCTTGAACCAGGATCCTCCCCATCTCTACCTCCCAAATAGCTGGGATTACAGGTGTGACCCACCGTGCCCAACTTTGCATTCTGATCTTATGAAGCAGGGGTCCTGTGCCTGCTCCTATCCTGGGACCTACAGATGATGTAGGTGCTCCTGGCAGGGAGGTCAGGCTCAATGGAGACTTTTTTGAGTTGGGAAGCATGCATGTGCCCCGCTCTATGCTGGAAGCTGGGGACTTAGTGAACCAGACCTCAGGGTTCTCCTGGTCCTTTGTGCCTAGGGACGGTATGGGTGGAGAGAGAAGGATGGGGGTCACAGCTCCGGGATCCAGAGCCCAACCCTGGGTCCTGGTTCCCACCAAGCCCAGAGCTGCTTCCCATCTCCCACAGTCCCACCAGGCTTGGTGCTATAAACGTTTCCAGAGCAGCAGCCTGACAGCCCAAGGATGGTTCCTCTATTCCCGCCTCGCCCCTTCCCCAAATTACTGACTCCTTTGAGCTACAGGGGAGAGGGGTTGTGGGGAGGTAGGGTGTGGGTTGGGTGATGCAGAACCACTGAGTTGGAAAGTGCCTTAGAGGTCACTGCCCTCATCTCCACATCCAGCGTGGCCATGAGGGCCACCTACCTGGGACCAGAGACCGGCCCCTACTTGCATGTAATCACTGTAGTGAACTTACCACCTTGCAAGGCCACCAATGTCAAGTTGGCACAGCCTAATGCACTAGAAAGTTCTTTCTTTCACTGAGTTAAAACTCATCTTCCTGGGGCTTCTGCTGGATGGTACCATTCATTCATTACATGAACATTTATTGAGCACCACCTACATGCCAGGCCTTGTGCAGGGCAGTGGGGACATAAAAACGAATCTTATGATGTCTTGGAGTTTAGAAAACAGACACAAAACAGATCATCACAGATAGGTTCTAAACTATGGTCTACTGTGTTGCCAAGAAGTGCAGAAGCCCACAGGTCATGGGATAGGGACCTGATTGTCACTGGAGGACTGGTGGAAGCTACTGAGGAAGACACACCTAAGGGCAGAGGGTGGGAAGTGGTCCCTGGCTGGGGAACAGGATCCCACACTCCCGAGGATGATGGCAGACGACAGTGGCTTTCAGGTAGAGGGGATGGACTGCCCCTACCCTGGTGAAGTGTGGGACTGTGGTGACCTGTGATGGTGTTCCCCCTCCAAACCAGTCTCTCCCACCCTAGGCCTAATAGGGGACGATTTAGAAAAACCCAAACAGCAAACTGCACTTATGACAGACACTTTCATCTCCTGGTGCCCTAAGCCGTCACTCACTGTCTACTTCCTGTGCTCACTCAGTCCCTGCTTTGAACTTGGTGGCTCTGACTCTGCTCCCTCATGACAAGGCTGTGGTCATCACGGCTGTTCAGATGTGGTGAACCACCTTACTGCCCTTGCACTCAAGCTGCACTCTTCGTCCATTAGGAGGTCTTGAAATATTCAATTCCATTTTCATTGAACTTGAGATATTCTTCGTCTGTCTACCTCCCTTGGTGCATTAGGCTGGTAATTCTACCTCCTCTTCCATGCCCAGACATGAAATGGCCACTGCCAGCTGTGGGGAGAGGCCTGGCACCTCTGGCACCCCTGTCAAAAGCTTCCCCAAGAATTTCGAAGTTGGTCTCTGGAAAAGCCAGGCCAGGGGTGGGGCTGTGGGGACCTGTCCAGAGTGAAGCGGCAGGACCCCCCTACAGTGGATGATGCTGGGAACAGGCGCTGCCTTACACCTGAAAGTTCTTGACAGCTTCCAGCCATGACAGTGTCCCTGGAGAGAGACTCAGGGTGGAAAATGGAGCAGCCTATCCAGGGACAAGTGTGTGAAGATCGTGGTAGAAGGGGAGGAAACTGCTTCTGAAGCACATTCACAGGCTTTCACTGGTCTCTACTGATCAGTGGGGCACCTGTTAAAATGCAGATTCCAGGGCCCCATCTTGGGATCAGAACACGGCAGGTATGGCAGGGCCGAGGAGTCTGTATTTAACAACACCTAGGCGGCCCGGATGCAGTGGCCATACTTGCAGAAGCCGACTCCTTTGACTCTCATGGCAGTGCCTTGTGGGGGAAGGCAGAGATCACAATCCTTAGTTCCAGAAGCCTCAAGAAGGGGAAGA